TTCATTCAGAATCCCTAGAATCATGGATGGTTAGTAATGCTGTGGTTGAATCCGTTGCAATGGCTGTACTGCCATATTCCGTTAGCTTCAAGAACTGGTAAGGTGAAGTCGTGCTTCTCTGGTATTACGTTTTTATCATCTTCTGTGGTTAATGCTTCTTTGTCCCTCATCTTCTTGGGTTGTGCGGTTTGGTCCTCAATGTTATCTTTTCTAACAGTTGTGATGCCTCTTCTGATGAGGCTCCAGATCACCTCCATGTGGCAATCAACCAGGCCCACACTCCGCATCATCTTCCCATCTGGTTGAGGTGAGGCCACACAAGGTAGTCGAGGTGATGCATTACTTCAGCCGAAGTGCCATGTAAGGGCCGACCTCCATGGCTTAGGCGAAGTGTCATGCACGCTGGGAAGAAGTACGAGGCGACCAACCTCCATGCTAATAAAAAGCATCCTCACAATGCTTCTTCCAAGGAGATCTTTTATGCAAATATTCATACGATTAATTGATGTAACATCTTTGCAGCAAGTGTTTAAAGGTCAAATCACCATTCTACCAGCTAGAGGTCAGGGTGATATCTTTTCAAAAACATTAAATGTGACAAAGGCCTATGATGTATGGATTGACACCTAGGAAAGACACCTCGACCATCAAGATGAGGCCAAGTGTCTTTCAATCCAACGGTCAGTATTACACCTCTTCCACTATAAAAACTAATGCATTGGCCATTTGAAAGTTATGCAACTTTAGACTCTCTAAGCTCTAAGTTTGCACTCTCAATATATTCAATTCATACCCTTCCGAATCCGACCTCTTTAATCGGTAGCTCACGTTCCACACTCATACATCCTATACATTGACTAATTTGACCTTCGGAGTGTACACGGCCACCTACTTCACCACCGGAGAAAGTCACATGTGACTAACTATTTGTTCAAGTGTGCAAGAACAAGACTTACACGAACTAACTATTTGTTCAAGTGTGACTAACATGTATACTGATGCTGATTGGGATGCCAAAGAGTATACAAAGCAATTACCAAATTCTTCTCTTTCTCAACAGCATAGGTGCTCCAAGAATCAATTTTCAAGAGAAAAGTACATAATATCTTTAAAAATATGTTAATGGAATTAACTTATTCAGCATTTCAATCCTGGTATATTTTCCATTGTGCGAAATTGCTGAGGCACGTTTCAAGTTCTGATACAAATATTCAGTCCATGTTTAGCAAGAGTTTAAAGTCTTCACAAGCTTGGTTTCTATTCTTTTGCAGTGTGTCCAGAGACACCTGGAAGACTTTGGAAAACGCTTGAAGTTCTAGGTAAGAAATATGCTCTGGCAATCAATTAACGTAGAAGTAAATAAATTATTTAGCTGTGAAGTAATGGGATTTCTTGCAACTACAGTACCACTTATGAAGCGCATTCGTCACATAAAATTGATGCATTGTCAAGCACTTCAGCTAGTCAAATGCATATTCTCACTTATTAAAGCTTCGCCATATGGCACAGCTCTCGCAGCAATGAAGAGGCCATTTCTTTTAGGGGCACAAAATGGAGTAGAAGAGATTGTCACTGAAATTCTATGTTATTTTCCTGCCTCAATAAATTCTACAGATGAAGAAAATCATTCAGGATTTCATATTGCTGTAATGTACCGTCGTGAAAAGGTTTTTAAGGTTCTTCAACAGAAGAATATTGGACGGGATAAGATGTTCTTAATTGATAATGATGATAATAATATACTGCACTTGGCGGGATACAGAGCCCGTCAAGACTTACTCGATCTTAATCGTGGAGCGATTCTTCAAATGCAGTATGAACTCAGGTGGTTTAAGGTAATTATATTCTTACTTTTCATATATTTAAGCTCAGTTGGAAATAATTGCCTGTTTATGAGATAAAATGTTTGAGAAAAGGTTTCTTATTGAAGTTTTTTGGGAACATTTCTGGTCTATTTTTACCTTCATCCAGAAAATGCATTCGCCTAGAACCATTTAGCAGTTAAAGATATTTTCTCATTTATGATGCCTTGCTGAATACAAAAATTGATCTATGATCAAATATTTCTGTTTGATGCAGGAAATGGAGAGACTTGTAACATCTAAAGAAATTAAATCAAAGAATTCTGATAAGAAGACACCACTGGCTATCTTCAATGAAGAGCACGCTAACTTGGTTGCATCTGAAATACAATGGATGACAGGAATGGCTACTGCATGCTCAGTTGCAGCATCACTCATTGTCACAGTGGCATTTGCTGCTGCAATCACCGTACCTGGAGGGAATGACAGTAACGGCCTCCCCATTTTCTCTAACCAGACGTCCTTCTTAGTCTTTGCCATTTCAGATTGTCTTGCACTTGTCTCATCTGTTACAAGTGTTCTATCTTTCTTATCCATTTTTACTTCCCGCTATGGAGTTGATGATTTTCTTAATACATTGCCCAGCAGATTGATAATCGGCCTAATTTCCTTGCTCTTCTCTGTAATATTTCTAATGTTTGCCTTTAGTACTACAATATTTCTTGTGTTTGCGAAGAAGAATGCCCTGATTCTCATACCAATAATCACATCAGCTTGTTTACCAGTCTTCTTCTTTATTGAACTGCAGCTTCCTCCCCTCCTCAATATGATCAACTCCACCTACGGTCCAGGCCTTTTCGGGTAATAGATATTTCACTGCAATATCTCTTCGACTCTATTAGCACTTAAATAAGATATTTGAATCTGTTTTGAGTTACAGTCTTGGTCAATACATGTCAGATCTTTTAATTTAGTTGGGTAGTTTCATGAATTTGTTTGGAGTATGATTGAGTCAATTTGAACTTCTGTATTTTCCTTTCTTCAGGCATTGACCTTTGTACAAAATTTTCAGATCGATGAACTAAGAATTATGCTATTTCTCAGTATTCATCTTCCCTACAACTTTGCAGTAGCCATATCATAAATGCACCTTTTTCTGTTCCATTTCCAAACAAAGGCAAGACGGCCATGCTTTTATATAATTAACAGAAAATGATATTTTAACTACCCTGGTAAGTGTTCATAAATATTTTTCCATAACTCGTTTCTGACAAGTTTAATCCAATGTCAATATCTCTGTGCTTGTGTCCAAAAGCATTGCCTAAATAACAAAGGTGTGAGAAGTAAATAAGTAAGTTTTAAACTATCCCTTTTCTTGTTAATCAAAGTTAAAAAAGAAGTTACTTGTCGCTTGTTTGGTAAAGCTTTTTTATTAAAAAATTGGTCAAACTTCAATTTTCATAAAATCCACCAACTTTTGTCAACTTTTAACAACATTACACAAGCTCTTATTTTGATACAAACTGAATTACTTTAAAAAAAAAAAATTAATCAAAGTTAATATGTTATACAAACAATCCCGACCTGTCGCATGAGCATATTCAGGGTACCAGAATCTCTATGCACCAACATTAAATCTCTAATGACGCAATTCTACTGGGGCTCGACCAGTGGAAGATGTAAAAGAACCTGAATTGAATGGGATCGCACGTGCCTTCATAAAGGATTGGGCGGTCTGGTGTATTGAGACCTTGGTCCATTCAATCAATCATTAGTGGCAAAGCAGGCTTGGAACTTAATCTGCAACAACTCACTAGCTGTATGTGTTAGAATTTTATGAAACTTTAAATCTCGTTAAATTGAAAACATAATTACTTAATTGTCAAAATCCTCCATGTCAAATAATCTAGAGAATTATCAAATGCGGAACATACCTTAATTCATTGAGAATGTTACTTTATCACTGGATCTTGATTCCGGATCTTGAAGTTTGAACTGCAATCTTTTCAAGTTTGGGTTCTTCATTTTTAATCTTGAAGTTTGACTCCTTTAATTATTCAAGTCCTGTTCATGATATTGCTTCATGATCCATAGTTTTGATTCTTGAATTGATTCTTCATTATTGATTGTGGGTTTTGGATGTTCCTCTTCAATATGTTCTCTTATATTTTTGTGTTAATAGAATGACACAAAGAATAAGAATCACATATGAATTGGGGACCATAACCCTATTTATAATTTCCATATGCATTTGGTCCATTGTCAAATGCAACCTTAATGGATCCGGTTACAACACATAATTCGGCTAACACTTTATTTAGATACTCAAAGCTCACAACTTTAATTTTTATTAAATCACTTTAATTGAGTTTAACTTTAAGATAATCTTAGATACAATTAATTACATATGTAGGTCCACATGACAAATTTAAAAAAAAAAAAAAAACTTTTGCTATCATAATCAAAAGCATCTCTAAATAATCTCGTCCATTAATTATATCAATACAGGATCAAAGCAGTCTTCGTTACAAATATCATAACTAAACATATCAATGGTCACGTATATCAACACAATCAAATAATATAGATTAAGTGTGGAAGTGTAGCATGAAAATTACATGTAATATAATCTAAACATGCATATTTCCAACTGATCATACCTTATTTTTTTAACGAGATCAAACCAATAACTTAATCAGAGTGAAACGGAATTGAATACTTTATTTTTGAATTAAACTGAATATCCGTGAATAAAAATATGTGTCTAAAACATATAACATTCGAACACAAACTCCCACTAAATTGGCATATCATCGAAAGATGCAACACACATATGAATAATATGCTTATGAATGACCTGGGTGGCAGCCATTTAGTAAATGGATCCATAATTATGAAGTATGTCCTAATATGCTTTATAAAAACCTGACCACTCTGAATTCTTTCCTTAATAACTAGAAACTTGATGTTTATAAACTTTGACATTGTCAAGTTCCTATTGGAATACAAGATTGCTATTGTCACAGAATAATTTAAGTGATTTTTCTATTCGATCCAAACTGTGTAGCCCAGTGACAAAATTTCGCAATCATATTCCATAATCAGAATATTCAATAATCTCCAATTGGTCTGATTTTTCTGAATGTGATCATGTAATCCATAGTTTTCTGTAAATATCGAATAACCTAATGAGTTGCTTTCCAAATATTCATCAAAGAGTTACTAAAATATCTGTATAGCATTCAAACAATGAATATCATAATGAAGCGAAATTCTCATTGGTTAATTTATGTTCAAAACCACGTTAATTTACATGCAAGGTTTTTTATAAGAGGCAGTCGTATTAAGCAAATATAGGTTATGGTAATCGAATAAAGAACTGGTACCCACAATATTTAAATTAAAAAAAAGACTAAACTGTCTATTTCTACATGAACAAGAACAACCGAAATTGTCTAATGTAGAAATGAAAACCAAATTTCGTCTAAAAGACGATACCACAAATGTCTGATTCAAATCCAAATAGTAACCCGTCTCTAATTATAACCTAAAAAGTCCATATAGCCTCAACTTTAATTGATTTACCATCACTCCACATAGATGTATCGTTCAGCATCAATTGATTTTTGGCAGTTCAAGCAATCTTGCATAGACACACTTATATAAGTAGTGGCACCAGAAGTGTACTTTTCTTTACACGCTAAGCGTGGTATTTAGTACAGTCTCTCTTTATATGTTTCAGATTTTCACAAAAGTAACGGCCAAATTATTTATCTTTTTTAAGCTTTTGCTATTTCTTTTAAACTGAACCAAATGCACAATCCTAGCCAGCTCCAATATAAAGTCCATAAATACATCAACCCATTGCTCCAATATAGGGTGTACCTTATGTTAAAATCTTATATTTGGTCTTTCTACAAGTAATGCAACTACTACAAATATGGTTATCTCTTTTCATACTAGACCAATAAAAATGCTCATACAACATTTCTAAGGTTTTCCTAATATCGAAATGCCTCATCAATCCCCCACTGGTGCCTCATGAACCAACAATTCACATATAAAACAATTAGACACACATAATTTATTTTCCTTAAATAAATACCCATCATGATTGTAAAATTTATTGATGGAAGCCTTGTCACATGACATATGTATGTTAGAAAAATCTACATCATTGGCATAACATTTTTAATATCTCAAATCCAAGTGTTTTGGCACTTAAATAAGTAAGAAATACATACCTTCTGGATAATGGATTGGCAACTGTGTTCTCCTTATCTTGTTTATACCGAATAATATATGAAAAAGTCCCAATTTATTCCATCCATTTTTCATGCATCTTGTTCAACTTACCTTTGCCCTTTAGACGTTTCAATGATTCATGATCTGTGTAGATTACGATCTCCTTTGGCAACAGGTATTGTTGCCATTTCTCCAAAGCTTAAAAAACAAGAGTATAAATCTTTTTGTCATATGTGCGGTAATTCAAAACTACTCCACTTAGCTTCTCACTGAAAAATGCTATGTGTCCCCCATCCTGCATAAAAAATTGCCCCAGTTCATATTCCTTACATCACACTCAATCTCAAAAGTTTTGATAAAGTTAGGTAGTCTTAAAACAAGTGCGGAAGCCTATCCTTAATAATGGTAAAGGCATATTCTTATTTAATGCCCCAATGAAAGTCAATACTTTTTTTCACAATTTTAGTGAAGGGTGTAGCAAGTGTGCTAAAATCTCTAACAAAATGCCTACAAAAACTAGCTAAACCATGCAAGTTTCTTACCTCGGTGATGCTTTTAGGCATTGGCCACTCCTTGATGGCTTTTACTTTCTTTTCATCCACCTCAATACCTTTTGAACTAACAATATAACCAAGAAAAACTACTCGTTCCATGTGAAGGTACATTTCTTAAGATTAGCATATAGTTTTTCATGTCTTAAAACATCAAGGACGCATCTCAAATGCTTAACATGCTCATCTAAACTCTTATTGTTTACTAGGATATCATGAATATATACCACTACAAATTTACATATGCATGTTTACAAAACATGGTTCATTAATCTCATAAAAGAATTAACTACATTAGTTAGACCAAATGGCATAACTAACCACTCATATAACCTATATTTAGTCTTCAAAGCATTTTTCCATTCATCTCATTCTTTCATCCTAATTTGGTGAACCACTTTTAAGATCTATTTTACTAAAAATGCATGACTCGTGCAATTCATCAAACATATCGTCAAACCTAGGTAAGTGATGGCGATACTTTATAGTTATATTGTTGACTGCCCTGCAATCAATCTACATTCTCTATATTCCATCATTTTTGGGTACAAATAGCACTAGCACAGTACATGGACTCATGCTCTCTCGCACGTACCGTTTTTCCACCAACTTACCTTTAAAGCTCATTTGTCTCTTCGAGATTACTTCTACAGCTTGTCAGTTTGGAATAACAGCTCTAGATTCAAAACCAAGAAAAACTACTCGTTCCATGTAAAGGTACATTTCTTAAGATTAGCATATAGTTTTTCATGTCTTAAAACATAAATGATGCATCTCAAATGCTTAACATGATCATCTAAACTCTTATTGTTTACTAGGATATCATCAAAATATAACACTACAAATTTTCATATGAATGTTTGCAAAACACAGTTCATTAATCTCATAAAAGAGCTAGCTGCATTNATAGTTCATTAATCTCATAAAAGAACTAGCTGCATTAGTAAGACCAAGTGGCATAACTAACCACTCATATAACATATATTTAGCCCCCGGTTAGTGCACATTTTTGCACCAAAAATGCATTTTTTGTTTTAATGTGATGAGGAATATGTGATTGAAAAAAAAA